GAAACCCTAAAACCCAACGATATGAACGCAAACAACCAATGAAAAAAATGGGCAAAAGACCTGAATTGACATCTCATGAAAGAAGATACAGATGGCAACTCAGCATATTAAGAGGCTTCATATCACATGTTGTCAAGACAACCACTACACATCTCCTAGAATGGCAAAAATTCAGACACTGACAACACCAAATGCTGGAAAGGATGCGGAACAACAGGAATTTGCATTCACTGCTTGCAGGAATTACAATGGAGCAGCCATTCTGGAAACCAGTTGGCATTTTCTTACACAACGAAACTCCCTCTCACCAAATTATTCAGCAGTCACACTCCCTGGCCTTTATTCAGCTGAACACTTATATGAAATGCTGCCCATGGATGTTTATAGCAGCTCTACTCATAACTTTGAGGCAACCAAGATGTCCTTCCAGAGCTAAATGCATAAATCAACTGGTACATTCACACAATGGAATATTACTCAGTACTAAAAATCAATGAGCCATCAACCATGAAGACACAGATGAATCTTTTTTGTTGTTGTTGGTTTTTTGAGACAGGGTCTCACTATGTAGTTGAAACTGACCCGGAACTCACTATGTAGCCCAGGCTGGTCTCAAGCTCACAGAGATCCTCTTGCCTCAGCCTCCTGGGTGCTGGGATTACAGGCGTGCGCCACTACACCTGGCTTGACACAAATGAATCTTATTTGTGTATTACTAAGTATAAAAATGCCGTGGAAAACAACCCTATGGCGAAACTATGGGGACAGTAAGGCAGTCAGAGGTGGTCGGGGGCTAGAGGAAGGGAAGGATGAATATGCAAAGCATAAAAGATTTGTAGGGCAGTGAAAGTATTCGATATGAGCCTATAATAGCAGAGACAAGACATTAGATATCTGTCCAAAGTCACAAAGGCAGGGTCCAAACGGGAGCCCTAAGAACACCCGTGGACTTCAGGTGACGATGATGTGTCCACGTGGATTCACTGATGACAAGTGCTCCAGTGTGGTGGATGCTGACCACGCGGGAGGCTGTGTATGAGGGGTAGAGGTTAAACAGGAGACCTCTGTTCCTGCCACTCAGTTTTTCTGTGTACCTGAAACTCCTCTAAAGAATAAACTGTATCAAATTTTTTTTTAAACAAAGGAGGGCTGATTCTAGGTTACCAGTAGGGAGTAGAAGAATGACGGATCATCCACCAGTAGAGATGGGGCCTCAGAGCGCAGGAGGACACGGAGCCTTGGGCTTCTGTGGATTTAGAGTTCTCACCTTCTTTTTCCACTGCCTATATAAACTGCGGGATCATCACTTAAAAACCCTAGTACCTTCGGGTGGGGCATTTAGCTCAGTGGCACCGCACCTGCCTCACAAGCGCAAGGTCCGAAGTTCAAGCCCCGACACCAAAACAAACAAAAAAACCCTAGTACCTTCTGCTACTACACTTGATCTTAGCCAAAAGGCCAAGGAGTGATACCTTCTCCTACTATTGTCTTCGAATAAAGGCTCTGGAACTCTGGCCCCAACTGAGCTGCCGGCTTCTCACCGGAGCTCTCCCAGGACACCGCTTCTGCTCCAGTCCTCTGTCACCCTGTCCTCAGAGCCTCTGCTCACACCATCCCTCCTCCTGGAGGATCCTCAGCCTGGCTCTCAAGCCCTAGACTCACTTTCACTTCACAGATGATCAGATCATTATTGCACTGGCCTGTGATGGCCGCAGGGCCATGGTGCAGTGTGACGATGGCAAGACCCCAAGTGAGCAAATGGATAAAACCCCTGTGATACAGTAAATAACATGGCCGGGATATAAAAATTACAATATAAGATTATTTGCAAACAGGTTTTTTTATAACGGCGCCCATGAAAATGTACCACAGTGACCAACACAGTTGTATTAGAATGGTGGAATGTGGATGAGTTATTTCATCTTCCTAAATTCTAAATTTTCCTTAGTGTGTTTTAAAAAAAATGATTTAAATTTTAGAATAGTTTCAGATTTACAGAAAATTTAATGAGGGCCGGGGATTTAGCTCAGTGGTTTTGCTGCCTGCCTTGCAAGTGCAAGGGCCTGAATTTGATCCCTGGCACCAGAAAAAAAAAAAAAAAAGAAAGAAAGAAAGAAAGGGAAAATTTAATGAGATAGTATAGAGGAACTCTGTGTCTACATACAGTTTCTATTATTAACTTCTTACATTAGTGCATAGTTTCTCTTATTATTAATTTCTTACATTAGTACAACACCTCTGTAGTAACGAAATGAGCCAAGAATTAATGTGGTTTCTAAAACTTTAGTTTTAAAAGGCTAAACATCATAGAGAAAATATCACCCTTTCCATAACCCCTAATTTCAGCTTAGCATCCTCATATTTACTAGTTTTCTTATTTTTAGTGTTAGTTCAGACTCTCCTTGGCACGGGTTCTTGGCTACAAATGTGGTGTTACCCTCATTAGCCATACACCTGTGTGTGTAATCACAATGTTATGTTCGAAAAGGATTACAGAAAATGTCTTCAACATAAAGCATCTTGGAAATCACTTACACACATGAGCCATGCTTATACCCTAGAATCTGATTTTCGTGTGTACTCATCTCCAGCAAGTGTATAAATTTTGCCTGGGTTCTCTATCCCTGTCTTCCCCTCCTGCCTTTTCACATCCAAAAATGCACAGACCAAAAGCCGGGGTGCAGCACAGTGGTAGAGCGTTTGTCTTGATTGTGCAAGGCCCTGCATTCTATCCTTAGCTCTGAAAGAGGGAGAGGGAGACAGACAGACAGACAGACAGACAGGCAGGCAGAATGGCCAGGCATAGTGGTATATGCCCTATAATCCCAGCATTCTGGGTGGCTGAGGCATGATGCTTGCAAGTTTGAGCCCAGCCTGTACAACCTGCAGCTTAGTGAGACCCTATGTTAATAAAAGGGCTGGGGATTAGCTCAGTGGAAAGGCCCCGGGTTCAATCCCCAGTACCAAAGCAAAACAAAACAAAAACACCAAAACAACAACAACAACAACAACAACAACAAAAACCACCTCAGTCCAAGTCTCTCAGAGTATATGCTTAAAAAATATCCGTTGTAATCAACTGGAGGAACAATCCAGATATGGGATACTGATTTTAGATGACTAAAAGTTGAATGTTCTTCGTAAGATTTTGCCTGAGACTTTAATTTCTGCCATTAAAACCACAATGTTTTTCTTCTTCAGGATTCAAGGAAAGGCAGCAGGAATTAAGTTTTAGTGAAAGTGGATTTTAGTTTTCAAATTACAAGAATCATTTTCAGCTTGCTTTTAATGTGTAAACTATAGAAAATGGAGGGTGGGTTGCTTTCTCTTTTTCTCTTTTAAACGTTTCTTCCCTCGTGAGTTTTCTTTGTTCTCAGTGCCAAGTTGGTTTCAAAGAATTTTTCTGGGTATCCAGCAGTTAGAACAAATCCTACAGATTATACAAAGAAATAACCAACTGAAGTAGCTAGCTTACAGTCCTATTTTTTAGAGAAGGCATTCTGTTTTAAACTAGAACTTTAAAAATCTCAAATAGGCCTCTCGGTCCTCCTTTTTTTTAAGTTGATAAATATATTTTCATCTTTTAGGATAGTTTCTACTAATACACCCAGGACTGTAACATTAAAGTTGGAAAAATACTGACTAGTATCATAATGTATTTTCAGTCCCTTATCTAAAGCACTGTTGGAATTTCCCTAAAAACAAATTAAACAACAACGACCACAAAAAAATGCAGCACTCTTTTACCTTTAAGGAAATCTGTATCATATTTTTTAAAAAACGAATGAGCAAAACTTTGTTAAAGAAATTGAAGCTTACAAAAAAGAAAAAATTTATACCTCTGGTTTAGTGAACTAGTTTAAATTCTATCAGTACAGAAGTCAATCACTAGATTTATAATTTGAAGGAAAAAGCGGAGCATCAGAACTAAAGAGGGCGAATCCCATATTCGCTGTTAACGGTTAAAATCCCCAAAAGAAAAAAACAGCACTACAGGCAGTTTTTAAGAGAGCCATGCTTTAAAATTAAATGGCTTATTTTATCAACTATTATAAAACTGTTGCATCACAGAGGTAATTAAAAGACCCAAGCATGACTGTACTAAAAATAGACTGATGTTTTTAAAGAAAGACTAAAGAGAAGTGTTCAAAATCAACTTTGGCGTATGAACTGAACAGGTATGAACCAGCCTGTCCGGAGGCAACACATGCTTTCTGAGACCTTTAACGCTCCACTTGACATTCAGCAGATCTGAGCCATCGTGCAGTTTTGCTAATGAGCTTTGGGTGAGGGCAAACAAAGGTGAACTGGACCAGAGGAGAAGTAACTGAAGTGACCCACAGAAGCCTGAAAAGGAGGTCCCGCCAAAGGGGAGCAGCGAAATCCCACTTCCCCCACAATCTGAGCTTTAGTCTCTTAAAGTCAGAACAGAATAAACAGGCTTCTTGGGAAAAGACAATGAAGACTAATATGCCAAAGTTTGACTTCTAGAATCTGAAAAAAGTAAGTTTCATAAACTATTACAAAAATGTTCTGTCACACTACCCATTCACACTATTTTGTCTTTAAAAGTAATTTTTTCCCACCACAGCATGCCAATTGCATGTAAAAAGAAAGAACGATTTTCCTTCCTGTCTCACCAATACTGATGCTGTTTTTGGCATGCAGATAAACACTTATTTCAAGAAATGGGCTAAAGCTACCAGTTATCAGAAATAATAAAAGTTGTGCAGACATGCTATCTTACTGGAATACTTAAAGATTATTTTCCAGTTTCTTTCATGACCAGGAAATCCTGCTATTCATTCTTTGTTTTTTGTTTTTTTATACTGGGGATCAAACTCTGGCCCTTGTGCTTTCGAGGCAGGCAGCGGAACCCCTGAGCCAAATCCCCGGCCCTCATTCTTTGTTTTTAAAACTCTATCAAATCATTCCTTAAAAAGTTCCAGTTTGATTATCGTATACCTAAGATGGTAACACATAGTTGAAATTATTCTTACCTGATGTTGCTCATCAGAATTTGGTGGACAGTTCAAAGTAACAGTTTCACACTCTTCAGCTAGGAGGGAAAGAGACACAAAGCTTGATAAAAGAAAGCACAGAACCCATGCTACTGTAAGACCTAAACTTAAGGCTCAATGTCACAGGCTGCCTTGACTGGCGGTAACCAGGGACACCCCACCCTTTTGCTTCCCCAAAGCCTACCTCCCACAGCCTCTGGCTGTCCACTCTGCTCCAGGGCCTGACATAGTCCTCAGGCTGTAAGCGTATGTGCCTCACAAAGAGCTGTGGGTTTCATCTGTCCAGTGCCAGTGTCATGTGTGCGGCCATCACCACAGCACCAGATTGGGATCTCTCCCTCATCACCAGGGTACCAAGAAGGCAATCAAACCAACTGGCTGGTGAATGGTTCTATCATGGTGACGGACTTTCGCTCAGATATGATTAACTGCTCTTGGCCAACTTTACTGATACACTGGGCCAGCAAACTTGAACTTGGGCCTATGAGCCACCGTGCTACCTTTGTGGGGTGTCTAACTTCTCTTCTGATCTAAAATGTCCCTGCCCCAGGATAAAAACTTCAGTGGACTAAGCAGACCCCACTGTGGCGTCCTGTCAGCCCGGCTGCATTTGGCAGGTGGTCTCTGGCCTCCCAGCTGTACCCAGCCGGCGTTGGCCAGGTTAGAGCTCTCTGGGTGGTGAGCACACTGGCCACCTGTGCCTGGCACCGTCCTAGACATGGCTTGTGAGAGGGCATCCCAGCGCGGGTACAGGCCACTGTGCTCACCTCACAGAGGGGATTTTGCCTGGCACTAGGCTCGTGTCATTCAGGAAAGGCAGTCACCTGCCTGTCCCCTTGGCTGCTCTGCCCCTTCCTGTTGCCTGTGTTCCCTACCCCAAGGGCACTGAGGCCTAGGGTCTGGTGGAAAGCATGGGGGTGCAATGCTGGGTACCCACCACTCTCCTGGCCAGAGCACAGAGCTCTGCTGAGCCCACTGCTCACCAGCACCCAAACGGGGAATCTTGCTAATGGGGGCCAATTCCCTGTATGTGACCCTGCCTCCGGGAGATCCACTGGTACCCCTGGAGGAAGCATCATCAGCGGAGCTTGTTTAAAATGCAGGCTCCAGGTGCCTAAAATGCCAATAGCATCCAAATCCCGCAGTGTACCTTGCCTCTCTTTAGCTTGTAAATGCACTATAAATTTTTTGAACAGTGTAAGAAAAGAAAGAGCAGGTAGACCAAATAAAATGAAGAAAATCAAATCTTGATGTATTTGTGTGAGTCCTTAGCGATGGACAGTTTTCTGCCTCTGGGAACAGTGGCTCAAAAGTCAAAATTCTTTTTCCAAACACATCTTTTTCTTTCCAATGTAAAAAAGAGCCACATTCCTTTTGGAACGCTCATGCCGGCAGCTTCTATGAGGGAGCAGGAGCTATGTAGGGCAAGACAATCCCCACTACACAAGAGGCCTGAGTCCAGCGGCTGCAGACACTTGGCAGAAGTAGCAGTAGAATGAACCCCTGAGGCTGCTGAGGAGGGGGTAGACTGAGGCAGGAGCTCTGCACTTGGTCCCAGTGAGAAAGCAGTTCGACTGACCAATCAGATACCAGCTGCTGAAATTACCCTGGATCTCCACAGGGGACTTATGATAAAGCCATCTTTAAAATCACTCTAGTTTGGCCTGTGTGAAAGAATAACTTTATTATGAAGCCAGATGTGGTGGCATATGCCTGTCTGTTACTAAAGCAGGCTGATTTAAGTCTCAAGCAATCAATCAATCAACCAATCAATCAATGGACTAGGGCTATAGCTTAGAGCAAAGCCCCTGGATTCAATCACCAGTACTGCAAAAAAGCAAACAAAGAATAGCTTTATGCTGTTTATGAATAAAGTAGAAATATACTAGTCGTACACACCGACTTTGTGAAACATGCTTAATTTGCTTAAGAAAATGAAGCTGAGAACTTTTAAACCATATGGAAATTATTTAAGCTAATTATATATTACTCCTCTATTAAATAAAGTAAAATTCACTTGAATGTTCTCCTACTTGGTATTTAATATAATTAGGATACATTTACTTTTAGTTCTAAAAATTAGTCTCTTCACTAATTCATATAGATTTTCTTTCTCTGAAAACAACTTAATGATAAAATTACCATAATCATCTAATGATTGTATTGGCTCCATTTGTGACGTTCAAAAGAAATACTATGAGACATTACATTATTATATTATTGAACGCAATTGTTGGAGTAACATTCTAAACTTCTAACCATGGTTCATTTACATATAAAATGATGCATTTCTGTGGAGATAAGAAATTACGCATTTAATATTTTTCAGCATGAATAAGAACAAAAGAAAGGTCTGAGATAGTTTTCAGAGCCACTTGCAAATCTGTAATAATTTTAATTTAGGTTCTGTAAACTCAAATTCTAGGCAAAACCTAGGAAGCGTGGGATCAGATTGCTAAGCAACATCTCTTTTTCAAAAAAAGAAATCTCATTCAAGGTTGATAGTGAAAATACGTGGAGGTAGACGACCAGGGCAACCCCTCTGCTCAGGAACTACTGAAACCTCCACCCTGATTTTCCACATTTCTGACTGTCCCTCCAACCCTGTTCAATGCTTGTGTGTGCCAGGCACAGTTCTAGACCCCACTCAGTAATTCGCACAAGCACCCTGTAAGGGGAATGCTAACCTGGCCCTTTCCACTTCAGAGAAGAGGACACAGAGACCCTGAGACCTGGAGTCATTTGCCGAGGCTGCTTAAGCCAAGCTGTTGAACATGGGTTTGATTCTCCCTTCTACATTCCTGGAAGCATCCCAGGTAGGGTCTACATTCCAACCACACTGGTGTGGGCTACAGTGCAGATTCCTAGACCCCATCCCAGACCCACAGATCTGCATTCTAAACAGCTCCTCTGAATGCAAACAGAGGTCCAAGAACCAGCCCATACTGGCCTCCTACCCACCCCTGCTGCCAGACCTGCACTTTTCACTGCCTGCTGAGATCAAGTCCCAGCTCAGGGACTCTGAGACTCAGGGCTCCTTCAAAGAGAGGGCAAAGGGGAAGAAGGATTGCTGGAAACCTCTCCCAGCATAACCAGGTGGCAATCTCCACACCATCATCACCCTAGGGCCACGTCTGGGAAAGAAAAAGTAAGGGTACCCTAATGATGTCACTTCCCAGGACCAGGAGGAGAGGCTGGGGATATGGGCGGGAGAGGAGCAGAGCTTTGGCTGAACCCTGAATTAACCACAGACTGGCCCATGTGGGAAGGTCCCTCCCATTCCCACCATGTTGGGGTCGCCCAGGGAAACCCACAGGAGCAGGGGCTAGGCAGACCCACCTTGCCATGGTGACCAGGAAGGCAGGGGCCTCACCAGCTCTGAAGACGCATGTGACTGCCCCCCCGCCCCCTTCATCTCCAGGTTATCAGCAGAGCTCCAGGGTGACACACAGAAATTTGGCCCTCATCCTAGAAGGTGGCCTTGCAGCCCGCCCTGCAGCAGAGATTTTGGAAAGCCAGGGCCCAGCCACCTCTGTGGTCTGCACCGTGCCTAAGCCTGAGACTGTGAGTTGTAAAAGGCAGCTGTTTTGGTTCGCTGTCCCTTGCTTCTTTGTCCAGCCACAGGGAACCCTTTCCTGTGGCTCGGATATAGCCTTCATCATGCCCTCTCCCTCCTGATCCCAAGGCTCAGAGTTGGCCAATGTCCCCAGGCCTCCTGCTGGCAGGAGTTGATTCAGGGACAGGCCTATGATGAACCTAAGCTGCCCCCGTCAACCTGAAAACTACTACAGATGCTCGGGCCACTTCTCTGCCACAGTGAACACCGTAGCCTGATGTTGGCACTGCTGGGCGGCGCCTTTCCCTCTGTGTGGGGAAATCCTGCCTGAAAATGGAGGCAACACAGAAGAACCTCTGAGCCTGAGGTGGAGAAACAGCCCGAGAGCATCCTTACACGCTTGCATCCATCAGTGCTCAGGAACCCCCGCCTTTTTAAACAAACTTGAGTTAGGCTCTGTCACCTGAACCCAGAGTCCAGACAATCTTACAGGACTCTGATGAAAACACCAGAGGCAACCAGGCATGGTGACACACCTGTAATTCCAGTACTCTAGGAGGCCGAGGCAGGGGGATCACAATTTCAAGCCTAGCCTGGGCAACTTAGTGACTTAGCAAGACACTTTCTCAAAATAAAAAAGAAGTGCTGGGGATATAGCTCAGTGTGAAGGCCCTACGTCCAATCCCCAGTAACACACAAGCAAAAACCACAGGAATTTAACGTAACATTTGGTATAAAATAATTTACACATTTTAATTCATTTCTGAGGTAAGCGTGTAACAAGCCACGAGTTAAATAAATTATCAGGGAATTTCTGATTTACCACTTTCAATAATGAAAAATTACTTTGACTAGTGCTTTGTTTGAGATATTAAATCAATCATAAGTTCAAGTAGTCACATTAACTGTACATACCTTTAGGGAGTCCCGTATCTTGAATGGGATATTTGTCTGACTGTAAAGACCAACAAAAGAAAAAGTTATTTTTAAATGTCAAAGTATAAGATAAAAGTGAAAGAACGCTTTGTCCTGGGAAAGTCATGGTTTCGATTTAAAGCGTTGGAAATGGTTAGCCTCGGACTTGTCAATAGGCCTGCCCCACTGACTGTTTTTATTCTCAGTTTATAGATGTGAAATCCAGGCTGACAAGAAGTTAATGTTGGAACCCAAAGTAGAATAAGCTTTACTCTAATTTTCTTGGCTCTGACCACTAAACCACACTTCCTTTCTTCTGCTGTGCTTTCCCCCCTGCCTACTTCCTGCAGCTTGAAATCAAGAGGCTTTTGTTTTCCATGCCTTGTGGGAACAGACCCGTTTCTTCCCACCATTTCTATGACAGTCATTTGGGTCAGTGAGTGCATGTTCAGGGCAGTGCTTACTATTGCCTTTGAATCCTAGAACTGGATCTTAAAGGTAACTGAGCTGTTAATTGCGCAAGTATCTAAAGATCAGTTACTAATTATGCACACTTATGCACAGTCCTCAAGACACTTGTTGAGGGTAAGCCTGTGTTACGCTTGAAGTCTAAAATGTCTTCCTAAAGAAAGACGTGTGCTCAGAGGTGGGCTACTGGAAGGTGACTGCATCGTGGGGGTTCTGCATTCCTCAGTGGACTCATCCATTCGTGACTTGGAAGCTCACTGTGCTGTTAGCAGGTGGGGCCTGGTTGCAGGCGGGTCACTGGGGGCGTGACCTGGAAGCCTGTGTTCTTGTCCCTGGCTCCTCCCTTCTCTTTCTGCTTCCTGGCTGCCATGAGATGAGCAGCTTCCCTCTGCCAGGACTTTCACCACGGTGCTTCTGCCTTGGAGTGAAACAGCCAGGGACTAAAGCCCCTGGAAACTGAACCAAATAAATCTCTCCTTTACGTTGTGGGTGTCACGTATTGGGTCCCAGCGATGACGAAGGGACTAAGACACCCACCTGTTAAAGGGAATTCAAATTGCAAATGTTCTTGCAGTGACACATTATTTAATTTGTTCACATCTATCTGTAGGCATCTAATGTTCTGAAAACTTATTCCAATTAAAAACGCAGCCATCCTCTGAAGCTTCCACGAGGGGGGTGAGAATGTGCTCAGTGTTCCCAACCCTCCAATCTGAACAAGGGTTCAAACTTCCTTTCAAATTTCTTGCAGGTCTCTCCCATGCCTTCCTTGACAAAGAAGATAAAGACGTAAACACGGAGTCAAGGATTTTATTTTGATGCCTTCCTTGAGTTCCTATGGGAATTTTTAGAACTTCTAGAAGCTTCCAACTCCTCCCTAACAAAAATCAGTAAGTAAACCAGAATTAATTCCCCACCACTCTTCTCACTGCTGCTCCCCACAGTGTGGACCACATCCTGGGGTCACACCCTTTCAGACTGCTGTGGAAGGCTCCTGTCTACTCCTTCAGCTAGACTGTGGGACCCTTCAGAGATTTTGATGCAGGGTCGAGTGAAGATTACAGAACGTCCCCCTGGACAGACACAGGTGGGAGCAAGTGTGCGTCTTCGGGAGAAATGGATGTCCAAGCAAAAACCAGGACTCAGAAGGAAGGAACCAAGGAAGGAGCAAGATCACTGCAGAGGGCAGACATAGCAGGAGCAAGGGCCAGTGAGTGGAACAGCAGCAGGCGGAGGAAGGAATTGCGGCAGTAGAGGAATCTGCTGGAGGTGGATAGAAGGAGACAGGGATGAGCATGGAATGATGGAGCCAGTTTGCAAGGAGCACGAACGTGAAGCGAAGGGACGGGCCCAAGGTCTCAGGAAGCTTGCTGCATCAAGTATTAGTGGCTGCCTGTCTTGCATGTGTGGCTCTGCATGTGGGTAAATGGGCAGCCCAGTGTGGTGGGAAGTCAGACAAGCCAGAGATCCCATCTAGAGATAACCACAGGGACCAAGCCACGGGGAAGGGGACCTTTGAGGGCCCCAGGCCGCAAAGGCTCTGTGGATGAGGAGATGCCCGAACCTCAATGGGACGATGCACAGGAGTTCACTCTGGGAGGAAGCAGGGACACTTTCCTGCCAGAGGGCGCAGAGGATTGGTGTTCCGGGAAGGTGAGAGGGCAAGGAGAATTTAAGGGACAGCAAAGAGCTACATGAGCCGCACACAGTGGGTGAGCAGCAGATGTCAAGACAAGGTCATGGAGGACCTCATCTGTCACAGTAAGGAGTGGACATGTAAGCCTGCAGGCAGCAGGATGCTATGGGTTATGTCCCCTAAAATATGTTGGCCAGGCGTGGTGGCACACGCCTGTAATCCCAGCACTCGGGAGGCTGAGGCAGGAGGATCGCTGTGAGTTCGAGACCAGCCTGGGCTACACAGTGAGTTCCAGGTCAGTCTCAACTACATAGTGAGACCCTGTCTCAAAAAACCACCACCAACAACAAAAAGAATATATTGACATAGTGACCCCTCACATCTCAGAATGTGACTTTTTTTGGATATAGGGTTATAGGTATAATTAGTTAAGATAAGGTCATAGTATAGTACGGTGGACCCTCAGCCAGCGCGACTGGTGTCCTTATAACAAGAGAAGAGAGGGTTGTGGATCCTTACATCCACTCTCAGTGGTGGAGCACTTACCTAGCATGCATGAGGCCTTGGGTTCAAGTGCCAGCACAACACAAAAAAGAGGAAGAAGGGGAGGAGGAGGAGGAGTGGGGGAGGAGAAGAAGAGGAAGAGGAGAGGGAGGAAGGGGAGAAAGAAGAGGTGAAGAAAGAGGAGGAGGAGGAGGAGGAGGAGGAGGAGGAAAGTCATAGAAATAAGGCACACAGAGAGAGATGACCACGTACTAAAAAGTGAGAGACTACATGTTGCACTTAAAAGCCAAGGAGCATCCAGGATTGCATGCAACCACCACCAGCAGTTAGAGGAAGCCAGGGGAGGGGAGCGGTGGAGGGGTGGTGGTTAGGGTTTGATCTGAAATCGCCTCCGAGGCTCAGGCGTCGAGGGCTTGCTTTCCGATGCAGCAGCGAGCAGGGGTAGGGCTGTGGGAAGTGACTGTGCCTTGAAGGCTGATCTCATCAGTGGACTGCTGGGAGGTGGCAGACACGGTAGGAAGTAGAGCCTAGTTGAAGGAAGTAGGCTACGGCCTCCTCTCATCATCTGTCCATACCGAGAATAGAGTTTCCACAGCTTTCCTCTTGTTGGCTTTCTAGGGCTGTCCTAGCAGAATACCAGTTGGGTGGCCTAGGGACCGTGTGTGTTCTGTCGCTGTTCTGAAGGCTGGAAATCCAGGATTAAGGTGTTAGCTGGACAATGATCCTTCTGATGCCTGTAGGGAAGAACCCTTCTGTGTCCAGGTGACGGTTCATTTTAACTGTTGACTTGATTAAGTCTAGGAGGTTAGCAAAGCACACTTCTGGGTGTGACTGGGCAGGTTATGGAAGTGTGACTGGGGTTTTCTATCTGGTCCAGGCTCTTTGCTTCTGGCACTGCTCCGCTGCTCTACTTCGTGGCTGCCACAACCCCTGCCATGATGTTCCTGCCTCGGAGTCAGTTGGCCATGGACACAAAGCTCTGAAACCATGAGCCAAATCAAACCTCTCCTCTTTTAAGATGTCAAGGATTTTCTCCAGCAATGGAAAAGCTGACCTATGTGGTCAGCTTTCTGTCTCTGTGACAAAGTAGCTGAGAAAATCAACACACACACAAAAAAAAGGTTTATTCTGGCTCATGAAGTCGGAGTTTCTAGTCCACGGTCTCTTGGCTCCATTGTTTCAGGGCCTGTGGTGAGGCAGAAACATCACGGCAAGGAGGGTGTGGTGGATCTGTGGTCCATGTGTGGCCCACGCCTTCTCCCTGTCTCCGTACCCCCGTGCAATGGGACAGGAACGGCTGCCAACCACCTCACAGGGTGCTGGGAAGAAAAACACCAATGCACATGACATCTTTGATAACTTCACAGCAACCAGTGGGCCCCAACTGGAGGGTGGGAAAGGCCAGGGCTCCAGGGATTGAAGGTGCTAACAGAGGCAAATCAGTATGTCCCCTTCTCTGCCCAGTGCCGGGAAAATCGTCCTGTTTTACCTTCAGTCTCACAGTAGATAGTTTGATTTTTTTTTGTATGGGGGATTGAACTCAGGACGTTGCACTTATGAGGCAGGCACAGCACCACTGAGCTCAATCCTCAGCCCTAGATAGTTGGAATTTTGAGAAAGAATAAATAAAAGAACAATAGTATTCAAAGTACACAAGTACACAAAGACTTTCCAAAATCTAAGATCACTTCCGGTACATACAGAACAGGGATTGGATTCAACACACACCATTTCCGGCCCGGAGAAACCCATCGTTTATTCTGCCACAGAGAAAACCAGATAAAGACAGAAAATCTTACTGTGGGTTTCTGATCTTGTGCAAAAACTCAGTAAAGAAAATGTGAAGTAACAAAAGAGAAAAAAAGCAAAACAAGGGATGTGGCTACAAATGGCACATGTGTGACCTACCATGTTAAAAGAGAAAGTGCTGGGGTCTGTGTCTTCCACTGGCTCCTTGGCCATGTGATCTGTGAAAGAAACACAAGGAGAGTATTTTCTTTAAAGTAAAAGCACACATGAGCCCTCTGATACTCGTTTTATACAGATGAAAGCTCAGTCAGCACTCTCACCAAAGTGGGGGTGGGTTCAAACTGCACCAAGGAAGAGATGAAGAAAAAGAAGTCTTGTTTCAAAAAACTATTGTATTTAGGGCGGGGGATTTAGCTCTGTGGTGCCGCTGCCTGCCTTGAGAGTGCAAGGTCCTGACTTCAATCCCCAGTATGTGTGTGCGGCCGGGGGTGGGGTGGGGTGGGACAACACCACCAACCAACCAAACAAAAAAAACGATTGTATTTGGAACAATCTACTTATAAGTAATTTACAAATAGAGTAACAAGTATCCATAAATTATACAGATAGGATGCTAATGACTCTCTTACATGCTATATTCAACATCTTTGGGTGGAAAAGATATAACTCTGTATATTATATCTTTCCTTAGTCTCTGTAACTTGTTCTTAAAAATTTATCTTAAAACTTGCTTGTTGGGGCCGGGGATTTAGCTCAGCGGTACCGCCGCCTGCCTTCCAAGCATGAGGACCCAAGTTTGATCCCAGGTACCAAAAAAAAAAAAAAAAAACTTGCTTCTTGATGTCCTTCATGTGACTATTCAGACTGCCTTGACTTCTCAAAATTTGCATCTTATGCTTGATCAACTTACTCCATTTAAGGAATTGAATGAGAAAATATAGAAAAAGGTACAGGCCTCTGTCAGGACCATCACTAGATCATATGAATTTGTACACATTAAAAAAGCTTCCCTTCTCCAAGGTGCTTTACAAGACACCGGCCAGGAAACTATCTTAATGATGACTAAATCTATTTGAGTGGAATCTTCCAGGTGTTTTCAGGGTACAAGCTGAAACAGACAAGTTTTAATTTTCACTTTTTATCCAGACCCTCATTAAGTTCCTACCGTGGCCTAGGCCTTATGTCTAGGCAATGCCTTTGGAGATTCAGATAAGTACCATGGGACAATTTATTGAGATAATAACTTGCATTTGTTCCCCTGGATGCTGCCCCGCTGAGAGTGGGCATGGGCTTTGCGTCTTTCTCTCCCGCCAACATGTTGACAATGCCCCAAGCTGCACTTCAGTCAAAGTGGAATATTTGAGAAGAAGCTGTGATAGAAAGGAGAGAGGCTGGAGCCTGCTTGGTGGTGGCTTCTACCACTGCTGCCCCAGAGCAGACCGGCATGTCAGAAGCCTGGGCAAGAAAAGCTAGAAAACCACATGCAATCTATCGGGCTGTGAGGGCATGCTTAACACACGGTCTCTTCTCCTCTTTCCACCTCTTCCTGGGCTGTTTCCTCTACCTGGAACGCTCTCCCCTCCAGGTGCCTTCTCCTGGCTAACATCAGCCATCCTTTGGGACACAGGTGTCTGCTACTGTGCGGGCTATTCCCCGCTCACTCCCATCCCTGCCCCAGCATCTTTCCTGAACCTTCCTATGTTCACCACCAAAGCAGCACTCAGTGCTCTGTTACTTGGGCATCGCAGTTCTGCACGCTCAGGGTCGTGCTGGCAACACACTTTGTTTCTTATTTTCTTTGTCAGTTTGAGCTCAAGTCTGAGTCTGTGGTTGTGTCGCTGTAACAAACAACCCGAGAAAATAAGTTTAAAGGAGCAAAGGTTTGTTTTGGCTCATGGTTTCAGAAGTTCCAGGCCATGGTTATGTGGTTCCATTGCTCTTGGGCCTGTGGTGAGGCAGAACATCATCGTGAGGAGCATGTGGTAGAGCAGAGCCACCTGATTTGTGGTGACAGGAGGCAGAGAAGGAGGGATGGAGGAAAGGAGGGAGGGATAGAGAGAGAGAGAGAGAAGGAGAGGTGAGGAGAGAGAAGGAAAGAAGGAGGAGAAGAAGAAAAGCAGCTGGGTGCTAAGGCTTTAAAATGTTGGCATCCAGCACTGGGTTTTTAAAGGGTGCCAATGCTATGGCATTACAGGGAACGGGGCTTCAAAGGGGCTGCTGGGCTGGGGAGGTGTAAACACCCCTGTGGCATCCTGCGCAGACACTGTTCACAGTGTCTATGGCACATCAGGATTGTTTCCTGAGGGAAAAGGAGTATGAGAGGAAGGGAAAAAGAAAAAGGCCTCAGAAAACGGAGGAGATGGCTGAGAAAGGAGAAGCCAAGCTAAAAACAGGACAGTTAAGAGAATGGAACACCAGCCACAGGTTGGGGAGGCCTGGGTCCTCACAGGCACACCATGGAGAGTCATTTCTGTCCTGTAACAAGACTCCTGCTATGATCTTGCTGTGACAAGCCTATGACCTTCAGCCAGCCTAGTGCTATGATCAAGTCTCTGGCCGCTGTACTCGGTCACTGGTGATTCTGGTCCAGTCAGTTTGGAAGCCCGTATGACAAACCTACTGTCTCAGAATGTGACAAAGCAGCTGTCGTGTCCCTGGCCTAGGCACACCCGAGGGTCTGGGACAATGGCAGGCACAGACAGAAGATGCCAGGGCTGGGACCCAAAGTCCCCTGCCACAGCCTGACATCTCTGGGGATAAGTGGAACCTAAGAAGTAAGGGACAGGTAGAATTCACGAGCTTTGTTTTCTAAAGTATAGCCATGAGGTGAGCAGAGGTTCAGAAAGGCGCTGTGTGTATAACTGTACCAGAGGCATTTTGGTCCAGGTGTTTTCTTCTTTACATTGTGCATGTTCTGATGGTACTGGCCTTTGCCGTACAACAGTCTCTGGACTGAGTACTTGCATGTTTCTGCCAAGATGACAGACCCAGCTCACTGCAGCATCCCACATGCTATATCCGACCCACCTAGTAGATTGTGTGTGTGTGTGTGTGTGTGTGTGTGTGTGTGTACTCTAGAGTGAACCCAGGGCCTTTGCACTGAGCTACATCCCTGCCTCTTTTATTTTTTACTTTAAGACTAGGCTTGAATTAGGGATCCTCCTGTCTCAACCTCCCAGAATGCTGGCACTGCAGGCCTGTGTCATCATGCCTAACTCTGGCAACTCTTTTAGCTCAAGCCAAATTACTTTTATTCTCAATAGGCCCAGATTCTTCTGGGCCAAAAGGAGGTTATTCAGGGAGGGGAGGTGCTGCTCGCGGTTATCGGAGAGTGACCTAGAAGTAAAAAGCTTTCCTGAAGTCTTACTAGAGGCCTTATAGTTGCATGTTTTTCAACTTGCTCCAGCTGAATCAGAAGACCCGGGGTGGCACTAAGTACTCTTCTCTGCACATGGGGTGCCCACACTTAAGTGGAAGAGCCAGACTTTGTATCAGAGACTCTCTGGCTTCACAGGCTGCCAACTTCCCAGGGTCACCAGCTTTTAGAAATGGCTCACACACTGATCGCCTGGCAGATGGCGTTGTTGTACCCAGATTTCCCCTTTTTATAAGGACACAGTCATAATGGGTTAGAATCCACTCTAATGACTTCTAACTTGATTACCTCAGGGGGAAAAAAACCCCTCTATTTCCAAATAAGGTCACATTCTCAGGTACTGGGGGGTTAGGATTTCAACATATCTTTTTTAGGCAGGACACTATTCAAAGGAACCCTTAAGTCTCCCTTCTGACTCCTATCCGTGTCCTTCCCACCTGTACAATATATTCACCCCATCCTAACCTCCACTCCAACCCCACCAAAGCCTACATCACTCCAGAGTCAACTGTAAATCCACAACCTCATCTGCTCATCCGCAGCCCAGATACCCAGATCTCCTCACAATTCCAGTAGAGAAGAAAAGTGAGCAAGCAGAGGTATGGTAAGGCAGTGAAGAAAGGAAGGGAACCCTAAGAAAACCCACAGGGAGGGGAAGGAGCGAGGGAAGAAGGAAGGAAAGGAAAATCACACATTGTTACCACCATCTTTGATGGCTTTGGAAAAAGAACTGGTCCAGCTCTGGACATACAGATGCTCCTGGAAGCGGCTCACCATTTAGTCCTGGGTCTACACCCTGTGCCAACTCAGATGCAAGACTGTCCATAGAAAGACTGAGAAGGGCCAGTGACATATGCAATACCTCCAAACAGGCCACAATGGACTGGTAACAAAGGTGAACCCACCCCTCACCACCCCAAAGCAGCCACGCTGCACAGGGCAAGGCAGACTGTGGTTGTGCTCCCTGTAAGCAAGCAATAAAGTGCCTCCCTCACCAACCTTCCAAGTGTCCCCTTCCTCCAACCCGGAGCTTCAGAGCCTCCTGGTTTGCTCTGTCTTGAATATCTCTAAGAGGTGTGGTCAAAATATACGGTGAATGTTTATTTTATTAAAAACTTTACAGTAAAACACATTGCCATTAATCCCCCTCACTTCAAACACACTGATCCCATCTTTCTTGCCACTTTCTGAAGCAATTCTGGAAGTCCTCGCTGTTTGTGAGTCTTTAGTTGCACCCCTGTGGCTGCCTTGATGTCCTGAAGAGATTCAAAACCTTTCATTGTCATTTTGACTTTGGAAAAGAGCCAGAAATTGCATAGTGCCAGATCTGGTGGAGAAGATGGTTGAAGACACTATATAATGTTTTCACAGGCTTTCTTTTCTGCTCGATGGCACTTGGCAATAGTGAGGCAGGCGGTGGCACCACTGAACTAAATCCCCAGTCCCAGTAGGTAAACTTTTAAAACCCCAATATGCAGGGCTTAGTGTGTGCTAAGTAAGAGAGACAAGCTCAGAGTAAAAAAGACATGGTCTCTATCAGGGGTTTACACTCCAATGGGGGAAAGCTGACAAATAATCAGTCACACCTACAACAGCGACATGGGTCAGAAAAGGAAGGGATGTGTGAGGGCATATGGCATGGAGCTGGGACTGGGTCACTTCTGAGCTGAAATCTAGAGGAAAAGTGGGAGGCACCTGTGTGTGTGTGTGTGTGTGTGTGTGTGTGTGTGTAGCCTTCCAGAGAGAGGGAGCAACCTACACAAAGGCCAGGAGACAGGAGAGTGGGAGGGCTTTCAAGGAGAAGAAAGGAGGCTGTGTGTCTGCCACGCAGAGAGCAGGGGACTACAGCGGGCACTCGGTAAGTAGTTTAAGGGATAGGTTAGGGTCATCAGACAGAGCGTGGAAGCCGCTCAAGGACTGAGGACTTGTCAGAAAGTGGCTCTAAGCAGAGAGATGACAGGATCTGACTTGTTCTGCAGAGATCACTCCGACCACCTTTTGTCAAGCAGGTTGGCAGCAGGCAAGCCTGAGTGTGAAAACACCAGGTGGGAGTGAGCTGGGCTCCAAGAGAGTGTGGTAACAAGTCTGGGGCGGAGAGATGAAAATACCGTTTTCCTCAGTCCACTGGTAACATCTGTGATCTCACTGCAGGGACGGAAGGGAAGTGGGTTTCTTGTGGGTTGTAAAGATGGGATGAGATGTTTGGAAGGGGAAACTGGGTGTGTTTTAGTGGAGGAATCTCATTTGATTGATGGACCTCAGAGTGGGAAGGGACGCCGAGACCATCTTCTAGAACCTGTGAAGTCTTCAACAACCTGTGCCACCTGGGAAGGGCCCCAGGTCTATCTCTTCCCAAAGATCTCACCTACAGGTTTGAGTTCTAGCTCCTTAGGTCAGAGACAGATCTGCTCCTCGGATACCCTCCTGGCACACTCTGTTCTCTGCCGCACCATTCCACTGTGCCTGAACTTGCAAATCTCTTCGCTCCAGATTGTGGGCTTCTGTTTTGGCCGGGCCATGCAGACTGAAGGTACCTGAAACTCTATATTCTTGGTGCTATCACAGTCACCTCAGATCTCCCTGATGAGCTCCTTGCATTCTTGACGCACAGAAGCTTTTTATCCCCAAGATCACTGCCGAGTGGGTTCCCAGCCCCCACCTCCCCCGGTGCTGCTGATTTGGGGGTGCCCCCGAGCAGAGTTCACTTGTATTCCCATGGAGTGAATCTCTCTTAAGACCTGTTTCAGTGAGATCTCAGGCCACTGTTACTGAAGTCTAGCTCAGATGTCCCTCCACACCTTGTCAATTAGGTTCTCTCCAGAGACCAGAGGGAGGGTCTCGCCCTTTATTTCCCCTTCTGCTTTCCAAACAAAGGTAGGGAGGGACATCCAGACAATTTAGTTTCGGTCGCCCATGACAAAATGTTTACCACACCCCGCTTGAAGAATCTAAATCTTTTTTGAAGTCTCAACTCCCACTCCACCCCCCAGACCCGCACATCACAGTGCCCCAGGTAGCTGTTGGGTTTAACCTTCTGACCACCTCCAGACGCATTCAGTCCTCCTCCTAGGTTCTCAAGCCACAAATCAGTGTCGGAATTAGGTGGAGCTCTGCTCCTGCCCGGGCTCCAGAAATGAAATAGGAAACGGGTCTATCTGAACAGTTGCAACTCCTACAGTCGGCTCTTTCCCAGCATGTCCAACCCCAGCAAAACCAGGTACAGCCCCAGTGCACCCCGAGGGACACATCAGTCATTCCCGGAAGGTGAACTCTACAAAGTATTTAAAATCCAGATGAGAGGGAAGAAAAACCTAGACACTGGCCTAGGTACAAACGCGCAAAATTTTAAAATAAGTACAAGAGTAGAGGCCATTCTGATCAAAGGCCTCACAAGTGGGGATTCCACGGGTGGGCTCGGCCCCTGGATTCTGCGGATACTAATTTATAAAACAGCTCCGGGGGTGGGGGCGGGGGACCCAACATTCACAAAAGTGCAACGAGGAGGGAGGAAGAGAAGCCAGGAGGCGTGAAAGCTGGAAACCAGGGAGAGCAGGGCGGAGAACACGAAATACACCCCTTGCGCTCTTCTCCGCCGGAGGTTGGCGCGACTCGTTTGAACCTGGCATCCCGCGCCCGGAACAAAGCGTCCGGACGCGCGCGGGTGCCGGGGGCGAGCGCA